CTTGGCTAGGAGTTTTATTGAGTCCTTGATAGCAGTTGAGAAGGTGGAGATTAAAGAATGCCTCGAGCTTACTTGTTTATGGGAGGAAGGTGCCGAGATAGAAAACCTTGCTCGTCTTGAGAAAATGAACATTGGGAGCTGCCCTCTTCTTGTTTCATTGACAGGGAAAGAACATGGCCTTCTTCCTTTCAATCTTAAACATCTCACCCTTTCAAGCTGCAAGGCTTTAGAGTCATTAACTGATGCGATGATGATGAAGGTAGATGGAAGCAGTAGCAGCAACAACGTATTGAGACTTGAATCATTAAGCATCTACAATTGTGATTCTCTCAAGTGTCTACCCACCACCACGGTTAAACACTTGATAATTGATGGATGTGCAAATTTTGAGTCTTTACCAGATGGAGTATTATTACAAGATAATGGTGAAAGCAAAAGCAATCTTGAATCTTTGAGAATAGAGGAACTTCCATCTCTAAATTCTGTTGGGAGTGGTCATCTGCCAGCTTCTCTCAAGAAATTTACTATTGAAGGTTGCAAGAGGTTGGAATCATTTCAAGAGAGGCTGCTGCAACATTGTAGGGGACTTGAATTCATTCGAATCGAGGATTGTGAAGTATTGAGAAGCTTATCACTTGATGGCCTCAGCAATCTTCGTGATTTGCAGATTTGGGGTTGTGCAGTTTTAGAATTCCTCCCAGAAATGGGCCTCTCCTTGCCCAATCTTAGATCTTTGAGCATTGACGATTGCCCACGGTTGGAGCGCATTCCAGATGGGGGTTTTCCCCCAAACTTCACAGATCTTAAATTAGTAAATTGTCAGAATCTCAACTTCCTACCAAATACAATGAATGAGCTTACATCGATTCAGATACTGAGGATAACTGGTTGTCCAGGCATCAAATCCATTCCAGATGGGGGTTTTCCCCCAAACTTAACAGATCTTTACTTAGACGGTAAGTATCTGAAGCAGCCGGCAGTGGAACGGGGCCTCCGCAATCTTACCTCTCTTCAAAGCTTTAGCATTTATAACACGTGTGCTCCTCTTCTGGATATTGTGCTTCCTTCTTCTTTAACATATCTACGGATAGAAAATGCAAAGAATCTGAAATCCATACCCAGAGGGCTCCTCCAAAACCTCAACTCTCTTCAATCTTTATGGATTTGGGACTGCCCAAAGCTACGGTCCTTGCCGAGGGAAGGCCTGCCTCTGTCGCTTGGATCTCTCTCCATCTTTAAATGTCCGCTTCTAAAACTACAACGCTTTGAGGAGAAAGGAGAATATTGGTCTCTCACCCGTACCATCCCTCACGTCCGAATAAATAATGATGAGGTAAAAACCTACACTCAAACTCACACTCTGATATAGATACAAACAAGGATAGCCTTCTTCTTCTTCTTCTAATTGTTGGAAGCTAACTTTTCTTACATATATTCATCAGCTATAACCACCAAAGCCAATTGTTACCTGAGTGAAATCTGGAATAAAGCTACAGACTTATCATTGAGGTATATTTCTTTTCTTTTTAATAGCTTAAATTATAATATATCTGCATATATTGTTGCACTACTTCTCTTTTTATTGATAAATTTGGAGAGCTTGATTCCCTTCCCAACTCTTCAGCTTCAGATATTTCCATCTTAAAAGTAAGGTGGCGGCTATATTAATCCATCTTACAAAAACAAATAACCATAATACAATGTATTTTTGAGAAAGCTGTCCTTTTATTTTTGTCATTTTTTCTTATACTATTCTTTGGCCTAGGTTGTGATTTGTGAATTTGTTCTTCCTTTTAGATGCATTGTAGAATTGATTGTAAAGTAGTGCAGATTGACAAATTCTTTGAAAAAATAAGTAATGAGTTTCAAATGTTCTTTTGAAAGGAAAATTTAGATGCTGGATGTTAGATTCTATTAAGCTATGTATTCTGTCATGCTCTAACAAATGAAAAAGAACCTTGCGAGATGAACTTAGTGAGAAAAGCTTTCTACAATGCACGTTGCTTTGCTAAGGCTAAAGCAGCTAACCTTTTGAATCCACTCAAAATTCTTTATCATACTCTTTCCTCAGTAGTATTGCAGCCCATCAAAGCCCTTGCATTGGTAATGCTTGTCAAGGGTTACTAACAGTTTGATCTTAATTAGGTACCATATTACTGCCAGAACAGTACTTGGGAAACCCATATCTTTAGAGATAGCTTCCTTGTAGATACCTCCATGATTCCTGCATCCGGACTCAGTTTGCAAATTGTGTTTGCAGAACCGTCTTTACGATTTGATCTAGTGTGGGCAGCCTGCCAGATAGGCCAGTAGACCAAGCTGTTGTTCTTTGGCAATGTTTAATTCTCAGTTATTTCTAGTTAGCTTAAACAATTGTAAGTGCAACTTTGCAAGAACACCATTTTACTTCTGAATACTATTAAATTGTCTTCTAGTTCTAGGTTGCACCTTATTTTTTTCATCTCACTATTTTCTTAATTCATCCCTAACCCATGTAAGTGCAACATCACTGCTGAAATTCTTAGATGCTGCACCTAATCAGAACACATATTCTACATCACTTTCTAAAAGACTCTTACTTTAAATATTTCCTTTCTTTTTTCTTTTTTTTTGCAAGAAATGGATCTGATTAGGGTTTTTTTCTCCAACTTCTTATTGAAGACAATTTAAGGATATTAAGGCGGATGTCTGGTGTCATGCTACCTTCTAAGTAGGAGGCAACATTTCTGGCAGTAGCTAAGAAATGAACAATCCAATAATGTTCATCCTTACAGGCGATGCAAGTGTAGAGAGCACAAGACAGCTGCGTTGACCACTTCTTTGTTTAACTACGGTCTTATTTGGGGATTTAGTTCTGAGATTAATGTAATGTGAAGACAAGAAAAGGTGCCTCTCGGTACCCATGATAGTCATAGCAACAAATTTCTCCTGGTAATGCCCAATCCTATTTTATGACACTTTGATCTCTCTCAGTCTGTTTCTCTAATGCTGCAATGCATCTCTTCAGTTTCAGGTTAAGACAATTCAACTAAAAGAGGCTTGCCTTGTAAATTTTAAAAATCTCCAATTATGTGATCCTAAGGACATCATTGCT